TAGTCGTGAGCCACCATGCCCGGCTGATGTTCTTTTCATGACTAGATTCATGCTATGGATTCTCGGCCAGAATATTGCATGAGGAACGTTGTATCCTTCTCAGGGCATCACTTCTGAATACATATGATGCCCATCTGTCCTTCAAGAGCGGGGTTAATTTTGATCACCTGGTCAAAAGTTACACCTGTTGTATTACTATTCAACTGAATAGTTACTATTTTTCCCCTTGCAACTAATAAGAAATCTGGAGGAAGACACTTAAATATCAGGCATAGCCTACTCCTCATCCGAATACCCCGCCCCCCAGATTTAGGATCTGTTTCTGATTCTTGCCTAAAGTAGACTTCATTTCAATGGTTGCCAAATGATGATTTTTCTAACCCTAGTACTCTCTCCACACTGGCATTGTACTCTACGCAAGAATCTTCCCTTCTTCCCGATTTATTTGTTTATCTATTTATAACCAATATGGACTCATGGATTCCTATTTTGCTTCCCAATGGTTTGTAATTCATTAGCGTTGTTATTTTGTACTGAAAGTGTTTCAGATTTGAGCAGTGGAAGCTAACTCTTTCTCCTTGTGTCTTTGTGAAATGCCATTATTATTTTTTAAGCAGGTGCTTTCTGACAGAATACGATTGTGATAGTTAATTTTGGGTGCCAATTTGACCGAGCTAAGTGATGCCCAGATAGCTGATAAAATATTATTTCTAGGTATGTCCATGAAGTTATTGCTGGAAAAATGATCATTTAAATCAGTGAACTGAATAAAGCACATGGTCCTTTTTAATGTGGGTCACATCCTCCAATCCTCCAAGAGCCTGAATGAAGCAAAAAGGCAGAGGAAAAGTGAATCTGCTCTCTCTGTTTGAGCTGAGACTTTCATCTTGTCCTGCCCTTGGATGCCAGTGCTCCTGGTTCCTGGACTTCTGGACTCAGACCATCAGCTTAGGGACTTAGACCATCAGCCCCCCCAATTGTCAGGCCTTCAGACTTGGGCTGAATTATACCACTCGCTTCACCAGTTTGCCAGCTTGCAACAACAGAGCCTGGGACTTCTTGACCTCTGCAACCATTCGAGCCAATTCCTATAATAAATAGCCTCTATATTATCTCTATATAACCCGTAGGTTCTTTTTCTCTGGAGAGCCCTAATACAAAGGCAATCTGGGCTCATCCTGTACGTACCTTGCACCTGCCATCAAATTGACCATTTCACCAAGGATCCCTGGGTTTTGTCTGGTTTGTTTTTGGGGGGTTTCTGAATGATATTTGAAAACCAACATATGGGTTCCAGGCTTGCTCATTGCGACTGGGGCATCTTTACTTCTTGGCCTTTTCAGCATATGGCACTAGTAAATGTACATATATCATACATACAAGCATGCATATATCTCTACACATATACACGCACGTACACATATTTTAGAAATAAGTTCTTATCAATACCTACAACTCCAATTCATCCCACAGGGTTCCTTTTTTTCTAAATTTTAAATTCCTTTAAAAATATCTATCTCTGCTGCTTGACTCAGAGCTACAGGCTTTTGTGGGGTTGTGTCCCCCTCATTCCATATTTGTATATCTCTTCCATAGTGAGAACACTGTCTCCAAACTATCAGTATATTCACTTCTTTGTTCAGTCTTATAAGACATCTAAAATAGTTTTAGAATTGTGCAACCTTTTTTTTTTAAATGTATTTTTTTTTTTTTTCATATAAAAACCCTGTAATGGGCCGGGCCTGTAATCCCAGCACTTTGGGAGGCCGAGGCGGGTGGATCACGAGGTCAAGAGATCGAGACCATCCTGGTCAACATGGTGAAACCCCGTCTCTACTAAAAATACAAAAAATTAGCTGGGCATGGTGGCGCGTGCCTGTAATCCCAGCTATTCAGGATGATGAGGCAGGAGAATTGCCTGAACCCAGGAGGCGGAGATCGCGCCATTGCACTCCAGCCTGGGTAGCAAGAGAGAAACTCCATCTCAAAAAAACATAAAAAAACCCTGTAATGGGATGTAACCTCTTTTGAACACTGTGGAATTTCCCACCATGTGAATCCTTTTTCCCTAAGATAAAATCTAGAAAACTCCCTTCCCAGTCTTCTTTGTAGGTAGGACACAAGTAAGTTACCTGGGTTCTACCAGTCACATTCACCATGTGAGATGCCACAATAAAGCCATGGGAGGAACAGGCTGTGCACTAAACGCTGGTGAGAATGGCGGCTGATGGCTGAGTAGTCTGGAATTCAGAGTCCACTGAGTGTATTAGGTGGAGCTCTACACAGAAATGACATTGGAGGTGGCAACAAGGGCCACACCAGCAAAGTCGGGTTGGAGGCAATGCAAGTTGTGTGGTCTAGCATCAAAGATAGTAGCGGAAATTCCTCGTCGGTTCAGTTCCGCAATGTGGTTTTGGATATTGACCTTGGAAGCTTAGCCTAAAGCATAGTTCTCTAGTCCTACCAGGTATTCTGTGAGCTACTCAGCATTTTTTAATAAATCGTTTTTTCCCTATGTGGGCAAATAGAGTCAGCTTTGGTGCTTATTATGAAGAATTCTACCCATAAATTTTCCTGATCCTGGGTCATTTTCCTCTAAAAATTTTACATTTGTTTTTCTTTATTTTACTGGTATTATTTTTTTCATTGAGACAGGGTCTCACTCTGTCACCCTGGCTGGAGTGCAGTGGCACCATCACAGCTCACTATAGCCTCAACCTCCCCAGGCTCAGATGATCCTCCCACCTGAACCTCCCAAGTAGCTGGGACTACAGGAATGTACTACCATGCCCAGCTAATTTTTGTATTTTTTGTAGAGACAAGGTTTCACCATGTTGCCCAGGTTGGTCTCAAACTCCTGGGCTCAAGTGATGTGTCTGCCTTGGCTTCCCAAAGTGTTGGGATTACAGGCATGAGCCACCACACCCGGCCTTGTTTTTCATGTAAATAATTAACTCACCTGGAATTTTTAAATTTTATTATTTATTTTTGAGATGGAGTTTTGCTCTTGTCACCCGGGCTGAGTGCAATGGTGCGATCTCAGCTCACTGCAACTTCTGCCTCCTGGGTTCAAGTGAATCTCCTGCCTCAGCCTCCTGAATAGCTGGGATTGCAGGCATGTGCCACCACGCCTGGGTAATTTTGTATTTTTAGTAGACATGGGGTTTCACCATGTTGGTCAGGCTGGTCTCGAACTCCTGACCTCAGTGATCCACCCGCCTTGGCCTCCCAATGTGCTGGAATTACAGGCATGAGCCCACCTAGCCTTAAATTTTTTTTCTTAAGGCTGGGTCTTAACCCAGGTTCCCTAAAACTTGGTTCTCAAAGTGGGGTCCTCAACTAGCAGCATCAGGGAGAGCTTATTAAAAATGTAGAAGCTTAGGCCTCACCTCAGACTCACTGAATGAGAATCTGCATTTTAATGAGCCTCCTGAGGAATGCAAAATTTGAGAACCACTGCCCTCAAAATAGAGCCTGAATCAAGGATTAAGTGCTGATGCATTATTTGGGGGGTAACTCAGAATAGCAAGAGTAGGAAGAAAGAGAATTGAGGCAAGAAAGCTGGAAGCAATGCATGGCGGTGGGTTTCTACTCCCGCCTCTACTTTATAATGAGTCTCAAAAGACACTGCAGGTTGCTTGGCAGGTGTGTGCACTTGACCATGTGGTGAGTGTTTGGACAGGCTGTATGCAGAAACCCTCCCAGGAGAAATCCAGCAATGAAGGCAGGTATGGGAATTAACCCCCCAAACCTCCCATCTCCTGTTTCCCAATGGTTGCTCCTCAGAGAGTTAACCCCTATATTTCTGGAACATGTCACTCAGACCCTTTGGTGGCCATTCAGAAGCCGGATTTCACATCTGTTACATAGTAGTTTATGCAAGTGTGGAAGTGGCAGGAGGAGCCAGAGAGTACATCCACCAGCTAGTCACTCAGGTTATACAACAGCAGCCAGAGAGAAAGGCCTGTGTAGTGGGACTGGGTGGAGCTGGTTGGCTACAACAGCAGTCAAGGCCAAGGAAATCTGAGAAGACATCAGAAGACATATCCAATACAGCCTACCCATTCGCCAGTCAGAAAAGTTGTGTGGGGGAACATGCCAAAGGATAGGACCTTCTGTAAGCTTTAGATGGTGGTGCTGGTTGAAGCCTTACAGACAGTTAAAGCAAACCCATATATGCCATGCATATTGATTCTGGTAAAAATAAATCACTGCCCCAGAGGAGAAGACATGCCTTTCCATTATAGATGGCTCCCACATTAGAATATGCAGCTGCCATTCTCTTAAAAAAAACATCTTCACCTCTTTTCTAAGAAAGGAAATACAAACCCATTTATTTATAAAGTTCCCTTTAAAGTTGTGGCCAGTTGCAATTCTGGAAGGCCTAATGGAAGAGGCTGCTTGATTCATTCAAGCTACTGTTATGGTCCTAAGGCTATAATTGATATTCATCATCTCCCTTCACCACCTCCCTCACTCCGGCACTTCAGCTGATTCATCTAGACTGGTTGCTGATTGGGTGATCCTCATACCTAGGGGAGAAGGTGGTGATCTGAAACTCTTAGACAGCCCTTATTGAGTTGTAATTGCTTTATCAGGAGTGGAAGTACTAAGAGGTATCTCAGTGAATCCCCTGGATTTCCTGCAATCCAAGAGGAGTAATCCAGGCTGCTGAAGATTTTATAATTTTTTTTGAGACAGGGTCTTGCTCTGTTGCCTGGGTTGGAGTGCATGATCATGGCTCCCTGAAGCCTTGTACTCCTGTGCTCAAGCGATCTTCCTGCCTCAGCCTCTTGAATGGCTAGGACTATAGGTGTGCACCATCATGTCCAGCTAATTTTTTAAAATTTCCATAGAAACAGGGTCTCACTATGTTTCCCAGGCTGGTCTCGAACTCTTAGGCTCAAGCAATGCTCCCATCTTGGCCTCCCAAAGTGCCGGAATTACAGGCTCATTCATGAGCCACCACACCTGGCCAATTATTATAAGTATTATACTTTGTGCTCGCTTCAGCAGCACATATACTAAAACTGGAATGATATGGAGAAGATTAGCATGGCTTCTGTGCAAGGATAACAGGCAAATTTGTGAAGCATTCCATATTTTTAGGCAGAAAGCTGAAACTGGATCCTTTCTTTACACCTTATACAAGAATTAACTCTAGATGGATTAAAGATTTAAACATGAGGCTTAACACCATAAAAACTCTAGAAGAAAACCTAGGCAATGCCATTCAGGACATAGGCACAGGCAAGGACTTCATGACTAAAACACCAAAAGCACTGGCAACAAAAACCAAAATAGGCAAATGGGACCTAATTAAACTTAAGAGCTTCTGCACAGAAAAAGAAACTATCATTAGAGCAAACTGGCAACCAACAGAATGGGGGAAAAAATTTGCAATCTACCCATCTGACAAAAGGCTAACATCCAGAATCTGCGGAGAACTTAAACACATTTACAAGAAAAAAACAAACTCCATCAAAAAGTGGGCAAAGGATAGGAACAGACACTTTTCAAAAGAAGACATTTATGCAGCCAACAAACAAGAAAAAAAGCTCATCACCACCGGTCATTAGAGAAATGCGAATCAAAACCACATTGAGATACCACCTCACGCCATTTAGAATGGTGACCATTAAAGAGTCAGGAGACAACAGATGCTGGAGAGGATGTGGAGACATAGGAATGCTTTTATACTGTTAGTGGGATTGTAAATTAGTTCAACCATTGTGGAAGACAGTGTGGTGATTCCTCGAGGATCTAGAAATAGAAATTCCATTTGACCCTAAGCTGTTGTTAGTGGTCCTAACAGCAATCTCATTACTGGGTATATACCCAGAGGATTATAAATCCTCTATTATAAAGACACATGTACATGTATGTTTATTGTGGCACTGTTCACAATAGCAAAGACTTGGAACCAACCCAAATGCCCATCAATGATAGACTGGTAAAGAAAATGTGGCATGTATATATACACCATGGGATACTACGCAGCCATTAAAAAGGATGAGTTCATGTCCTATGCAGGGAAATGGATGAACTGGAAACCATCATTCTCAGCAAACTGACACAAGAACAGAAAACCAAACACTGCATGTTCTCACTCATAAGTGGGTGTTGAACAATGAGAACACAAGGACACAGGGAGGGGAACATCACACACTGGGGCTTGTGGGGGGCTAGGGGAGGAATAGCAGGGGGTGGGGGGACTGGGGAAGCATAGTATTAGGAGAAATACCTAATGTAGATGAAGGGGCGATGGATGCAGCAAACCACCATTACGGCATGTGTATACCTGTGTAACAAACCTGCACGATCTGCACATGTACCCCAGAACTTAACATATTATAAATACATTTTTGAAAAAAAGGAAAACATAAAAAAAGTATTACAGTTTAACTCCTTTCTTTGCCAACTGACTTGCAGTGCTCAAGGCAGCCAGGTAGGTAGTTGGAGCTTCCAGGTCAGTGGAACCTGAGTGTGTGCCCTCACAGACATATTTCCCGGGAAACCAGAACTTCTGACATAACAAAGTCCAAAGTTCTGGGAACAAGAAGAAACAATTCCTCAGATGTATCACTGGGTATAATAGTTAAAGGGGCCACTTGTACTTCCATCCCTTGGTTTCTGGATTCATTCTCTCTAGCCATTACAGATTAGTGTCATATATTGGTCTTTAGTTCAAAGTGTATTATAGCCTGGAGGGCTGTGCCTTAACTCTGAGATGCTGTTGCCTAGCTGTGCCTTATCTGAGTCTCAACAGGCTTTACCACAATATTATCAGGTCAGCTGCTCTTGTGTGTGTGGTACATGGTAAGGTCAGTAGACCACGGTCATCAGCCCATTTTCACTCCCTCTTTCACCATAAAATATCTCTCGTGGCCAGGCGCAGTGGCTCATGCCTATAATCCCAGCACTTTGGGAGGCTTAGGCGGGTGGTTCACCTGAGGTCATGAGTTAGAGACCAGCCTGGCCAACAAGGTGAAACCCCATCTCTACTGAAAATGTGAAAATGAGCCGGGCGTGGTGGTGGGTGCCTGTAATCCCAGTTACTTGGGAGGTTGAGGCAGAAGAATCTCTTGAACCCAAGAGGCAGAGGTTGCAGTAATTGGAGATTGTGCCACTGCACTCCAGCCTGCGTGACAGAGCGAGACACTGTCTCAAGAAAAAAAAAATGCTACAAACTGAGTGATTTAAACACAGATTTATCATCTCACACTTCTGGGGGCTGGGAGCAAGGCATTGACAGGGCCAGGCTCCCTCTGAGGGTGCAGGAAGGGTCTGTTCCAGGCCTCTCTCCTGGCTTCTAGCAGTTCCTTGGCTTGTGGCAGGATCACTCCCATCTTCACATGGTGTCCTCTCTGCGCACATGCCTGTCTCTGCATCCAAGTTTATTTTTTATAAGGAGATCAGTTTTATTGGATTAGGAGCCCAACCTACTTTGGCAGGATTTCATCTTAACTAATTATGTTTGCAACGACTCTATTTTTAAATAAGGGTACATTCTGAGGTGCTGGGAGTTGGAACTTCAACATATGAATTTGAGGATGGGAACACACAATTCAACCCATAACTGGGTAGATCTTCCTCTGTGCTGTCATTAGAGGCAGAAACAAACTCTTCCTGTTCCTGCCTGCTGCTGTGCCTTCCAGCTTATTCTCTTCCCCTCCATACACTCATGGCTTGTTTGAAATATACATTGCTTTCCCTGGGCAGCTGGAGTAATTTCTCAGTCTTGACTCCCCAGCAGTAAAATGTGCTGGGAACGGATGTCTCCAAATCTGTTTGTGTCACTGTCTCGGATTCAGATGAGGGCCCAACTTACATGTACCAGGCACTTAACATGCCTTACCCGTCTGTCCTCACAGCATCCGTCTAGAGTAGTGTCAGACCTTCTTCATGAGGAAAATAAAGCTCATAGATGCTGAGTAACTTACCCAAAATTGCGCCATCTATAAATAGGAGAGCTAGAAACATGAACCGTCAGGGTAGGAGTTTGTCTTATTTATCTTCACGATTCCAGCAGCTGGCACTTGAATAATGAGATATTATCTGAACCCAGTTCTTCTAATTCCAAACTTTTCCACTATACTTCCCTGCTGTTCGGTAATTATGCCAGCAAAGAGAAGTGGCCTGGCTCTCAGAGGCTGAGCATCTAGTCACCATGTCCCTGCTCAAACTGCAAATTGGCCTTGCCCCACTTTGTGTATATGTGGCTACCAGAACATTCAAAATCCTTAATCTAACTTACCTAGGTTCACGTGAGTGCCATATACCACAAAATACACAAGGAAATGAAGAACACAACTGGCCAGTGCATGCAGCCTAGCACAACTGTCAAATGAGAAGGAATTCTGAACAAGAGGGCCTTCTGCCTGACGATGCCCTTGCTGGGGCAGCACCATTCACTTCTGAAGCTTCCTTGCCAGCTCTTTGGAGAAGTAGCAAAATCTCCTAACTATATTCATGTGCCATGCCACCTGGCTCTCCACTCCAACCCACTGCTGGGGAAGAGAAGAAAAAATCATGGGAATGTTGGAGAAGACCAACAAAAGCTCTTCCCCTTAACTGTTAGGGGGTCCTGAGGTGCTTGGAGGCAGGAAGATGAACCGATAACCCTCTCAGGTCCCTAGGACTTTAATTCAGGTAAAGCAGGATCCAGGTTCTGGCTTAACAGGGGAATTGAAGTAGCTCGGACTTGACCTGAGTGGGGACACTGGGAAGTGATTCCAAGGAAGGTGATCCTTGCCAGACATTCTTCGATGTTCACCAACTGGTCTGTTCACCTGAGCTTTGAGAGTTCAGTTTCTCCCGAGGGACTGTCAGGTCAAATCCTCATTCTCTGCATACAGGTCCTCATCCTGAAATTCTAGTCTCTTGGACTTGAAACTCCTGGGAAATGTAAAGAAAGGGTAGATTTGAGAAATGAATGCCAAAAGAAGAGAGGAAGAATGTTCGAGATGAGAAACAAGGTCACTCTCTGAGGCGTGTTTTCTTTTAATCAGGAAATGAAAACTGAGGCAATTCTGTGTTGAGGGGATAATTTTCTTTCATTTCTCGCTTTTTTCCAGGTGTTCTTGCTGCAGTCAAATGAGTCAATTTCATGAACTGGCCCATTTGCTTTGTCTGTATGAACCTAAGGCATTATTCTCTTTATTTACTTTTGTTTTGTGTTTAGAAATGGAGTTTTGCTCTGTCTCCCAGGCTGGAGTGCAGTGGTGTGATTATAGCCCACTATAATCTTGAACTCCTAGGCTCAAGTAATCCTCTCACCTCAGCCTTTCAAAAATTTTAAACTTTTATTTCAACAGTTTTTGGTGTAAACATGGTTTTTGGTTACATGGATAAGTTATTTTGCAATGATTTTTGGGAATTTGGTGGACGCATCACCTGAGCAGTATGTACTGTACCCGATCTGTAGCCTTTTTTTTTTTGAGACAGAGTCTCACTCCATCACCCAGGCTGGAGTGCAGTGGTGAGATCTTGGCTCACTGCAACCTCTGCCTCCCAGGTTCAAGTGATTCTCTTGCTTCAGCCTCTCGAGTAGCTGGGATTACAGGCACGCATCACCATGCCCAGCTAATTTTTGTATTTTTAGTAGAGACAGGGGTTTTGCCATGTTGGTCAGCCTGGTCTCGAACTCCCGACCTCAGGTGATCTACCTGCTTTGGTCTCCCAAAGTGCTGGGATTACAGGCATGAGCCACTGCACCTGGCCACACATGTCACTTTTATATAATTACTTCTTTTCCTTTGGGTAGATACCCAGCAGTGGGATTGCTGGATCAAATGGTAGTCTTAGCTCTACTTCTAATTCTTTAAGGAATCTCCATTACTGTTTTCCATAGTGGTTGTACTAGTTTACATTCCTGTTTTAGACTAGTTTTAGACCTGTTCCCTTTTTGCCACATCACGCCAACATCTATTATTTTTTGACTTTTTAAAATTATGGGAATTCTTGCAAGAGTAAGATGGTATCTTATTGTGGTTTCAATGTGCATGTCTCTGATAATTAGTGATGGTGAACGTTTTTTCATATTTTTGTTGACTGTATCCTCTTTTGAAAGTTGTCTATTCATGTCCCTTTGCTCGCTTTTTAATGGGATTGTTTTTATCTTGCTGGTCTGTTTGAATTCCTTGTAGATTCTGGACACTAGTCCTTTGTCAGATGCGCAGTTTGTGAATATTTTTTTCCACTATTCCACTATTGTGGGTTGTCTGTTTACTCTGCTGATTATTTCTTTTGCCATGCAGAAGCTTCTTAGTTTAATTAGGTCCCATTTATTTATTTTCATTTTTGTTGCATTTGCTTTTGGGGTCTTAGTCATGAATTCTTTGCCTAAGCTAATGTCTAGAAGAGTTTTTCTGATGTTATCTTCTAGAAGTTTTATGGTTTCAGGTCTTAGATTTAAGTCTTTGATCCATCTTGAGTTGATGTTTGCATAAGGTGAGACAAGGATCCAGTTTCATACTACATGTCTGCTTCAGCCTTTTGAGTAGCTGAGACTACAGGTGTGTACCAACACATCTGACTAATTTTTAAATATTTATTATTTATTTGTAGAGACGAGGTCTCACTACATTGGTCCAATCTCTAGCTCCTGGCCTCAAATAATCCTCTTTCCTCTTTCTCCCAAAGTGCTGAGATTAAAGGTGTGAGCCACCGCGCCTGGCCTGTTATTGTTGAATCTATAAAGTCCTAGACGTGGGCTCGGTCTTAGGGAGTAGCGCAGGGCTAAGTCCAGAATCCAGATCTCCTCACCCAAGTCCTGGCTCTCAACTACCCCTCGGGGGCCTCTGCCCTTCTGTGGAAGAGACGTTCCAGTTCCATGACAGGCAGCTTGTCAGGATAAGCATCCAGAAACGGATCCACCATCAGGACTCTTTGACAACAGTATTCTTTTATTATTATTATTATTATTTTTTGAGACGGAGTTTCGCTCTTGTTACCCAGGCTGGAGTGCAATGGTAAGATCTCGGCTCAACGCAACCTCCGCCTCCTGGGTTCAGGCAATTCTCCCGCCTCAGCCTCCTGAGTAGCTGGGATTACAGGCACGCGCCACCATGCCCAGCTAATTTGTTGTATTTTTAGTAGAGACGGGGTTTCACCATGTTGATCAGAATGGTCTCGATCTTTTGACCTCGTGAGTGATCCACCCGCCTCGGCCTCCCAAAGTGCTGGGATTACGGGCTTGAGCCACCGCGACCAGCCGACAACTGTATTCTTAAATCAAGGTTCACTTAGCATAAGGCTCAGAGCAGGGAAGTGGCTTGTCCAGGGTCACACAGCTGAGCAAAGTGACAAACCTGGACTTGGAGCCAGCCTGCATGCAGGTCAGCAGTTGGCTGCTCTTCCCACCTCAACCTGCTCGCCTCTTTCTTAAAGAAAAAGAAAGGGGCCGGGCGCGGTGGCTCAAGCCTGTAATCCCAGCACTTTGGGAGGCCAAGGCGGGTGGATCACGGGGTCAAGAGATCGAGACCATACTGGTCAACATGCTGAAACCCCGTCTCTACTAAAAATACGAAAAATTAGCTGGGCATGGTGGTGCGTGCCTGTAATCCCAGCTACTCAGGAGGCTGAGGCGGGAGAATTGCTTGAACCCAGGAGGCGGAGGTTGCGGTGAGCCGAGATCGCGCCATTGCACTCCAGCCTGGGTAACAAGAGCGAAGAGCGAAACTCCTTCTAAAAAAGAAAAAGAAAGGGAAGGGAAGGTGTTTTAGTAGTGAGTGTGGGAGGGCCACTCACTTCACCATGGCTAGGAAGCATCTCTCCATCCCTCCTCTCACTCGGCAGCGTGGCAGAACAGTCAGGGCCCATCTGACTTTCTGGGTTTTAGTGTATCCTCTCAGCTTGGGCTTAAAGAGATTTTATTAACCATGATTAATATCAGAGGATCCAAAGCTGCACCCACTTGTTAATTCTAAGGAATTTTAAAATGCGGGATTAAAAAAAAAATTTAATTTCATGCATAGGTATGAACAGCCCCTCATCATCCCGAGTAGCGGATGAACCACTCATCATTCCCGGTAGAGGCAGGTGAGTGTGTCCAGCGCCACTCAGGGAATGACGTTCTGATGCCAAACCCTCTGCTCCTCCGGGTCACTTCTCGGATGGTCTTGCTTCTCCTCTGCTTCCACAGTTGCAAACCTCGAAGTGCCACAACCCTTGGGGAAACTCAATCTTAAGTCCCATGGCCAAACGCTCCAGCCCGCTGGGCTCCCGGGACGCGACAGCGATCGGATTTCGCGTGGCCGCCCTGCTCCCCCTACTCCTGTCCCCTCCCGCCAGGGAACCCCCGGAGCCAATCAGAGCGTCGCGGAGCTCGGGGTTGTAGAGTCCCGAGCCCGGGACCCGCCCCTCTTTGTTGCGGTGGCCAATGGACGCATTCGGAACATCGGCGGCTGCCCGGGTGACTCGGTTATATGTCACAGAATAACATTCGAGAATGGGACATGGAATGAGGCGACGGCCGCAGCAAACCCCAGCAGCCCCAGCCCCAGCCCCAGGCCCAGCAGCAGCAGCAGCCTCAGCCGCAGCCCCCGCTGTCCCGCCTCCCGGAGAGGCTCTGCAGCCATGAAGCGGACTGTCCCGAGGTAGGGTCCAGGAGCTGCCGCGCGCCCTTCCCGCGCCCCGCCCGCCTGCAGCCAGTCCCTCTCGGTGCTAGGCGCTGGAACTCGGGGAAAAGGGGGCGGGTGGAGCTCTTTCCACTAGAACTCCTCCGGGTCCGGGAGGGCTTCCTGGAAGAAAGCGGGCCGCCTTGCAAGCCAAGGCTGCTGCAGCGCCCTCGCGCCAGCCCTGGGCGCTCACGTGCCGTTACGTTCGTGGCTCCGCTCCTCTATCGGCCACAGCTGGGGGACCGAGGAATGTGTGGAGCCTTGCGGGAACCTCCTGTTCCTTCACGCTACACGAGCTGTCTTTCTTCTCCCCACACCTTGCACTCCGCATCCCCTACGCTCTTTGCGCCCCCTCCATCCCCATCCCCCGCCGGGGGTTTAGGTGTGTAAGAAGCTTCGTGGCACATTTTGGGCTGCCTTTCTAGGTAGTCGCAGAGCTGGAAGCCCGTTATCGATTCCCAGGGAGGCTGTCAGCGTGCATGGGGGAGCGTGGGGGGGACACTCTGGGGCTCCTTACTCGGTTCCTCTGTGCGTCCACTTAGCCGTGGTGTCCGCTGTGTCTCCGCTGATTTCAGGCACCGCCGGTAGGCAGTGAGCCTCCGCGGAGCTCCCGCCGCCGCTCCCCCTTGGCGCGTCCTGCCGCAGCGAAAGGCATGGAGAAGGCCGCCCCCGCGGGGCTCTGATCCCCGCGCTGCGCCCGCACGCACCCCGCAGCAGCCTCCGCCGCGCGCCCCCAGCACCTCGCTCCCCGCCCAGGCCCCACCATGACCGGCTCCGCGGCCGACACTCACCGCTGCCCCCACCCGAAAGGCGCCAAAGGCACCCGGTCCCGGAGCAGCCACGCGCGGCCCGTGAGCCTCGCCACCAGCGGGGGCTCGGAGGAGGAGGACAAAGACGGTGGGGTGCTGTTCCACGTTAACAAGAGCGGCTTCCCCATCGACAGCCACACCTGGGAGCGCATGTGGATGCACGTGGCCAAGGTGCACCCCAAGGGAGGAGAAATGGTGGGCGCCATCAGGAATGCCACCTTCTTGGCAAAGGTCAGTGGCTTCCAGGGTGGAGTTGGGGGGCTGGGGTAGGTGGGCAGCGATGGGACCTATATATAGCAAATAGAGGCAATCTCCATTTTCCTGTTCCTGCTACAAACTCCCGTCCTCTCCCCATTACTCCCTGCCAGCCCTTTTCTAATTGAGATGCTTACCTTGGAAGCCTAAAAAATGGGGAAAGGAGAGGTAGTAGGCTTGCTATCCTGGGACTGTGCAACTGGGTTGTGCCAAGATGTCTTTGAACCGCCAGCCAAACTCTATTATTTACTCACCCCCCAGGTACATCCTGCTTCAGCAAAAGCTAGAGCCACCAGGTACTAGCGATTCCAAAGAATGCATAGACCCCAGGGATCCCACCTTGCATGTTCTCTTTGGAGTGTCTTGCTCCTCTTATGCTCCCCTCTTCCCCCAGCAAATGATGTATTAAGCTGTGAATGAATTTGAAATCAACCAGTCAGACTTCTCAGTGTGAATCATTTCCAGACTTTTTGCCAATTTTTTTCTTCTTTTTTCATGACAGTGACTTTCACCTCTGAAACTTGCAAAACAGTGAACTCTCTCTTCCCAGCTTATTTGGGCTCCAAGAAAAAAGAAAGACTTTTGGCTGAAACTTAAAAGGGATTTTCCAGTAGACATGATGAATTAGTCTCACTGGATAGAAAAAGAGGCTGAGGAGTGAAACTCTCTTTTTGCCTTGGAGAGAAGCCAGTGAGCCCTTTGGGTTTGGTGGCCAAGGATATTGTTACTGAGGCAGGGAGATGTCCCCTGGTGGGAGTAGATACATTATATGAAAGATCAAAATGCAAAGTGTGAAGAAATGCTGCCAAGCCTTGGGGTTATCGCAGGCGGATGGTTTCCTCTGGACCCTGGGGACACTGGTATGGCTGACAAGATTCCTGGGCAGATCTAGGAATCCCAGACTTGAGACCTGGAAGGCCATCTGGTTGAGTCCTCAGCCTGGTGACAGCTGAGCATCTGACCCTTCAGGCCAGAAAACTGTATGTGTCCCTGGGGAAGTGACAGAGCCTCTAAACTTCCTGCTGCTGTCAGTTACAGTGTTTTATCATGCAGCTGGTTGAAGAGATCTTCATTATGCCCAACTAGAATCTTGCCTGCTCTAGCGTCAACCATAATTACCCTTGCTGAGTTCTCCTTGAACGTGAGAACAACATTGCTCCTGGTTTGCAGTTCTGACTTGAAAGTGTTTCCCCCAGTGAGGAGCTGAGAGCCCTTAAGCTTGGAAGAAAAGTGACCACAAGGGAAAAAACTATTCCTACTGTCCCCATGCTGTCTTTCTTAGTAGCACCAGCACCAACACTGTCTCTAATTGTGCTTTCATCCTTCTCCCTACTGTGTATTGGGCGGGCGTGCTTTCTCTATGTGGGAATCATGGAATTCTCCTATTGGTAGAGACCAGTCTCCCACCTCTCAACAGAATCCCCTCCTCTTTCTGAAGACCTCTTGGGAATGGGGGGCTTGCTGCTTCCCAGGGCAGCTGATCTTAGGCCGGGCCAGAACTGACTGTTAGAAAGCGCTTAGATCAAACATAAATTCTCCTTGCCACCGCCTGCCACCCCCAAATCACATTTCATCACTGATTGTTGCCTTTTGAATGAGGGCAAAGCATTTTCAGCTTTCTGTGCTACTCACAGCACCCTCGAATGTTATGAGAGAGTGCTTTTAGGGATTTGGAGTAAACAGCAAGGGACCAGATCCCAATCTTGGTTGGATAACATCTAGCCTTGTGCCTCACCTAAATGAGGTCATTCACTTAAAATCTCTGCCCTTAGTTTTCTTATCTATAACATGGGAATAGACCAGATTTCGTAAGTTCTTTCCAACTCTAACAATCTCATGATCTTATGACCCGTGAGTCTGCGGGTCACTAATGCTGATCCGTATGATGTTAGAGGTCTGCTGGACTATGAGCCGTGAGGACTGTGACTTTCTGTCCTTCTGCTTCTGCTTCCTCCTTTAGCCTTCTTTGTCCACAGGTAGCTCTTTTACCCTTTCTTTCTTTCTGTTTTTGGAGACAAGGTCTTGCTCTGTCACCCAGGCTGGAGTGCAGTGTGTGATCATGGCTCACTGCAGTCTCAACCTCCCAGGTTCAAGCAATCCTCCCACTTCAGCCTCCTAAGTATAGCTGGAACTACAGACATGTACCACCCAACCTGGCTAATTTTAAAACAAATTTTTATAGAGACAAGGTCTCACTGTGTTGCCCAGACTGGTCTCGAACTTCTAGGCTCAAGTGATTCTCCTGCATTGGCTTCCCAAAGTGCTGGGATTACAGGCGTGAGCCACCATACCTGGCCTTTTGCCCTTTCTTATGTGTCATAGTTCCCAGACCAACTCACCCTGCTTCTCCCTCTGAGACAGTTCCTAGTCTGTCATTAGTCATTCACAAGCACATGTGAAACACTAAATCCTGCCTGAGCAGCTCAGAACACAGACTAGTACTTCTCAAGACCTGGACCTGATATTTCCGTTATTGTAGCTGAATGCTGTGTTCTTAAGTGTTCCCTTTTTTGTACTGTGGCCACATCATATTGTACTTTTCGTAGTAACCAGAAGGTCACACGAAAACTGCTTCCAAGCCAGGAATCACCAGCTCAAACGTGGACAGTCAGCGTTTGGCCCTAAATATAAAGAACTTAACATTTCTCTCACATTGCATTTTGATGGTTGGTCCTCTATCCCCAATCCCATCTTGGTGTCTCCCCTGGCCCCGACATTCCCCAAGGCCTGAGCCTCAAAAGCTCCCTTTTCCAGGGACCACTCCTCTTGGATTAGAGGGTTGTTCTTGTGCTCAGCATGGCAGACTCTTTCCTCTGGGACCAAGTCCTTTTCTCCATCAACCAAATCAATATCTTACTGAGGAATTTGTACAGAAGCAGGGTGGTAGGGTAGCGGTGGTGGTAAAAGTTTAGAAGGCTTCAGGGAGATTAACCATTTTTGGCCACTGAATATAGATAAAGAACCAAAAGAAGGGGATGGGGAAAGTTTTCAAGGGCCTATGTGGAGGACTAAATGACATTTCCTTTGACTACAGGACATTCCCTTAGCAGCCATGGTAACTTCTGTCTGAAGGTCCAGATGTCTCCACCTTGCAGATGTTCCCTGCTTTGAGATCCTCCTCCTAAATTTGTGACTGCAGGCCTCTACCCTGCTGGCTGCTGGGACTGAAGTTAGCAGTTGACCAAGTCAAAGGCAGGATTTTTCAGGGAGACTTTAAGGAAACAGCAAGAATCAGTTGGAGGATCATAGCAGATGGGAAGGGAGGGTCAGAGAGAGTGGCCAGCCCACAAGAAAACAGCGGGCATTCTAGGGAAATTCTAGGACAATCCTCCTGTTTCTTGACAGCCTGGAACTGGACTCTCATTGGGGCAGAAAACCAGGATGGTTTCAGCAAGAAACAGCAGTGGGTTTCTTCCAGACCCCACTTTGTACGCCTTATTCGCATGTTAATTCCCAACTGGAAAATAATTCACGTTTAGAGGCCTGAGCTTCACCTGAGTGAAGACATGTGAGTGTTTGGTACTGGAGACCTGGCTGCGGTCCAGGGCCATCCCTGCCTGCTGCTGCCTCTTGTGGGCAGCTTCTTCCCTCCCCAGTCCTGGGTTCAGAACCTTCTGTCTGTCTGTCCATCCTGCACCTCTGTCCCAGGCCATTCACAGATTCCTGGCTGCCTCTGTTGCAGGAGCCTGGGACTCATCCTGGACTCGTGGTGCTGTTTTGTGTTTCTCTTCCCAAGTTGTCAAAGAAGATTGTTCTGCCTGGTGCCTGCATAGTGTTTTCACATAGGGATGACAAAAGGTTTTGAGTTTCTTGTTAAAGATTCCTAGTGCCTGGGGTTCTTGCTGCCTCCCTGGCTCCTTTCCTAGCCTTTCCCTTCTCTTCCACGTGGCAATGTCAGTTACACAGCTGTGTCCATCCATATCACTTTCCTTGCAGTCTTCCGACAGGTCAACTGTGCTTGACAAGAACAGAGTGGAAGAGAGGCTGCCCATAAGAGCCTTGCCTGTGGTTTGTTTCATGATTCTTCTTCTTGATCCTTCTTCACTCCACTCCCTCCTCTGACCCCCCTATCCCCCAAGTTTTCTAGGGACCCGACCCCTAGAACACAGGTGCAATGCCTGTGTGAAGAGGTTGGTTTTGATCTGTTTCCTCTAGATTCTGCCTTCATCAGTGTGGCTACAGCTGTGGGGCTGATGTAGACAGCAGGTGGTGAGACCCTTGAGGGGAAGGGTTACAGAAAATCAAAGTTGGAGTTTCAGGTAGTACAGTAATTGATGAAATCTGGCAGGAAAACAGTATGAGAGGGACTCTGCGGACCCCAGTCTCGAACAGAAAGAAAGGGACGTGCCCTGGGCTTTTCCTAAGAAGGTTGCACCAATTTATGTTTGCTTCCGTCCTGCAGGAGAGCATCCTCACCAGCATTGGGTATCTGCATTTCAGCATGTTTTTGCTAATTGGAGAGGTGAAAAATGACATTCTGCAGTAGCTTTAATTTGCATTTCTTATATAATTAGAGACAAACCATTTTTTTCAAATAGTTTCTTACTATTTGCTTTTCTTCTTTTGTGAATTGTCTTTTCATGACTTTTTAAATTGTGGAGATATATATATATATATATATATATACACACACACACACACACACACACACCCCATATAATTTGCCATTTTCACCATTTTTAAGTGTGCAACCCTGTGGCATTGAGTACATTCCCACTGCTGTGCAGCCTCACACCATCCATCTCACCACCATCCATCTCTAGAAGTTTATCATCGTCTTGACTGGAACTGTGTACCCATTCAGCACTAACTGTCCATCCCCTCTCCCCAGCCCTGGCAACCACCATTCTACTTCCTGTCTCTGTGACTTTGCCGACCCTAGGAGCCTCATATAAGGGGAATTATTCAGTGTTTTTCCTTTTGTGATTGGCTTATTTCATTTAGCTAAATGCCATCAAGCTTCATCCATGTGATAATGTGTCAGAATGCCTTTGTTTTTAAAGGCCGAATAATATTCCACTGTATACCATTGTATATTCCGTTGTAGGCCACATTTTGTTTATTCGTCTGTCAATGCGCCCTTGGGTGGCTTCCACCTTTGGGGACCATTTTTATTTTCACTGAGTCCTAAAGAGTTTTCTTGTTACTTTGCATGAATTCTTCATGAATTAAGGATATTAACTCATTGTCACCAATGCATCCCCAGGGAGAAGTGAACATTTTCATCCTCTTCCATCAAGGTGAGAGTGTGTCTTCATGATATGAAGCTCCCAAGTTGAATGTCTAGGGACTCTACTGCTGTTGATTCTGTTTTTCAGTTCCAGAAAAGTATGGGTCATTCAGGTTTCCCCAACCTGGACCCCTGACAATATATTGGTGATGAATAATCACACAGCTTACACTTTGTCTTTTTTTTTGAGATAGAATCTTGCTCTGTCACCCAGGCTGGAGTGCAGTGGCTCAATCACTGCCACCTCCACTTCCCAGGTTCAAGCAATTCTCCTGCCTCAGCCTCTTGAGTAGCTGGGATTATAGGCACATGCCACCATGCCCAGTTAATTTTCGTATTTTTAGTAGAACCGGGGCTTCACCATGTTGGCCAGGCTGGTCTCAAACCCTTGACCTCAAGCAATCCACTCACCTTGGCCTCCCAAAATGCTGGAACTACAGGCATGAGCCATGGCACCTGGCCAACACGGCTTACACTTAATGAGCACTGTGTGCCAAGCCCCAAGCTGCCTACTTTTGCATTAGGTCATGTAACGCTTACAACCAGCTTGGAAGGTTGGAAGTAGGTGATACTATGCTCATTTTATCAGGAAGAAAACAGAGGCTTAGAGAGGTCATGCAGCTTGACAGGGCCCACAGCTAGTAGGTGGCAGACCAGGGCTTTGGACCTCGTTGTGTGTGTCTCCTAATATCTTCCTTCTCCAGGAAGCCCACCTGGTTTATAGTCCATGCCAGTGGGAATGTTGGCAGCCTGAGGTGCTAGTTGGAAGTGGAACCCCCAAGCTGAGCCTAGCCAGCTCCCCCAGACCTCAGAGCGATCTGCAGCCTATGACATCATTCCCTCTGCAGTCTCCAGGCCTCTCCCTGACACCCCTGCCCCTGGCTGGGACTTGGGGAATGTGTACTTTTGTCCTCCCATTGGGGAGGAAGTGTGGCCACAGCTCCTGTACTCTGCTCACAGCCAGGCTGAGGTAACCATGCAGCTGTTTTTAAAAGCCCTTGGACACCATCAGGCTGCTATTCTGAGGACCAGCTGCCCTCACCCTGCCATCCAGCTCTCATGGGCTCTGTTGGGCTTGAGAGGGGTTGAAATAATTTGGTGCTCAGCCCCCTCAGCAGATTCTTCAATCAAGTCACTGGCTACAGCAAAGCTCGGGCCTAGGGATACCCCTCTGGGGGTCTCTTGGGTGACTCGGGTATTGTCCTACGATTACCAGCTTTCTATTAAGGAGGTTCAGACTGAGCTTTTCTGTGCAGAAATGTTTATGTCTGGTTTTTTTTTTGGAGACAGCTTCTTGCTCTGTCACCCAGGCTGGAGTGCAGTGGCTCATTTACGGCTGATGCAGCCTTGAGCTGCTGGACTCAAGCCATCTTCCTACCTCAGCCTCCTGAGTAGCTGAAACTACAGGCACATGCCACCATGCTTTGTTAATTTTTTTTTTTTTTTTGTAGTAATGGAGTCTCGCCATGTTGCCCAGGCTGGTCTCCAACTTCTGGGCTCAAGCAATTTGCCCACCTTGACCTCCCAAAGTGTTGGGATTATAGGTGTCAGCCACTGTGCCTGGCCTGCGTATGTCTTAATAAACTGGAATTCCATTCCCCTCCTCCCTGCCTCTGCTCCTGGGCTTTCTCTCCTGAGGTGCTAAAGACAGATTTGTTCACGTCTCCCCTTCTCTCTTCACTTTGTGAAATCTCTGCCACACTTTTTTTTTACATAGAACACATGTTAGAGCAGAAACACAGGATACACTTTACATTTTGACTTTGTGTGTGTGTGCACGCACGTGCGTGTGTGAGTCACGGGAACATATGGAATACTTTGCCCCCCAAAATGACTCTCTCAGACAGAAATGTGATTCGGGTTGACATGTTGTAAACAAAATGTAGCTTGCAGAATAGTTGTGCCTGCATGTGTACACACACTTCACACACACATGCACACACACACACCTAACACCTTGGCTGTAATGTAGGAAATGTGATTCTGATGAGTTTCCTTCCAGCGGAGGAGGCAGTTGCTGTGAAGTAGGACATTTCAAAGCCAAGAGAGAAATGAGGCAGTGAGAGGAAAGGAATGTCGAGGAGTATTTGCAGTAAATGCAGCCAGTGGGCTGGAAGTATGCAAAGAGCCCGAGGCCCAGGTGGGGGGGGAGGGCAGTGTGCCCTCAGCCTCACACTGGGCTCGTGCCTGGAGAGCCAGGGAGAGAGCCACGAACGGCCTTAGGCAGCGTCTGGCTCTGCTGCCTGGCCTGGCTGCCCAGGGCCATCCCCACGTCTCCCCAGCAGCGTCCCCTTCCATCAGTGGAGCACCAAATCCCCAGGGCCGCCCTTGCCCTGTTTTCTCTGTGGATGGGTCTCACCTGTCCTCAGGCCCTTTCCACTTCTCCCTAAGTGGCTTGGCCTGGAGGAGTCTCCTTTCTCCTTCCCAGTGCAGCAAAAGCCAGAGCCCCACCCACGTGGGCTGAGATTCTCTGTTACCAAGGACCCCAACCCCCAGAGAGACAGAGGTCAGGAGACCCAGAAACACAGGGGAAATAAAGCAAAAACCAAAACCAACCAAGAAAACCCCACACCTGGCTCTTCAGCAGTAACTTGATTGGATGTCCCTGTCCGTTCTTGCTCTTGGCCTTCAGGGTAGGGCTGCTCAGAGCCGAGGGGGTGTCTCAGCTCCAAATTCCCGAGAAGAAGGACCTGCTTCCCCCTTTCCAGTCCTTGCCTGCCTTTGGCCCTTTCCCCTCCTGGCAAGGATTAGGACTTCGTTTGCTCGATTATAGACATTCAGGGAGTGTTGACTGAGAGGCAGACGGCTTGTGAGTCACAGGAGCTGCACTTGCCTGGAGAGAGTCAAGGCAAGAGGAGGGATCTTCCCTAATCCATCTGGGGTGGGACTCCGGGAAAGGGACACAATGGGCATGGCAGGGAGGGTGGTATTCAGATGTGGCACACGTAGTGCCATGTTGTAATTCTCCAGGGCACCATTCATTCACTTTATGTAGGTATGTATATATTTTAATTTTAGAGAGGGGATTTCACCATGTCGCCCAGGGTGGTCTCAAACTCCTGGGCTCATGTGATCCACCCACCTCAGCCTCCCAAAGTGCTGGGATTACAGGCGTGGTCACGGCACCCGGCATCCATTCACTTTCTATTCTGTGTAAATGTTGCCCGGCAGTAGAGCACTTGTAGTGGATCACCATTTGCCATGCCGCAAAAGGCGTTACACAGTCATTGATGGACTGCCTTTGTGTCCATCCCAGGCCAGGCTCGGTGGGGGGACGTGATAGAACATGGTTCTTCCCCTCTAGGAGGCGTTAGGCTCCTGCAGGGAAGAAGGCTGGATCACACAGCACCCAGAGGCCCATAGAGAACCACCATGACTCAGAGGGAACTCAAAAAGGGAGAACTTCCATGAGGGACCCACTGTTCCCAGGAGACCTCAATGAGGAGGCACTGCTCAATCAGGTGACCACCCCAGGGTGACCATGCTGTCATCAGCTCTCAGGAGCACCTCTTTCTCTGCTGGCTTCAGCCCTGTGCCTGCCCCCAGAAGCTGGGCCCCAGAGCGCCTCCTCAATAAACACTTCCTCTTCTCCATTTCTCTGCAGCCTTCAATACCCCAGGTCCCAAACTACAGGCTGTCGATGACGATCCCAGACTGGCTCCAGGCGATCCAGAATTACATGAAAACACTACAGTATCCTTCCAACCAAGGTCTGAGCACACCCAGCCAGGGGACGGGCAAGGTGATCGCAAGCCTGGTGGCTGATCTGTCCCCAGTTGGTCATCAAAAGCTCTTTAAGGTTGGTGAGGCAAGGTGTGGAGGATGCTCCAGGTGGGAGTCTAGAAAGAGTGTGCATGGAGGATGTCATTGCAGTGATCCAGTGGGGCAGGCTGGTCCACCTTGAGTCCCTCCGGCTTCTCTTTCTCCCTCCTCTTCCCTGTCCCTGTCCTTTTTCCCCTGAGCACTCCTCTTCCTTCTACCTTCTCTTTCTCCACTTCTTCTTGGTCATCTTTGTTCCCCTCATCCTGTTCTCCTTCACAGTCTTTCTTTTTCTTTTTCTTTTCTTTCTTTCTTTTTTTTTTTTTGAGATGAAGACTTGCTCTGTCACCCAGGCTGGGGTGTGTTAGTATACTTTCGACTCACTACAACCTCCACCTCCTGGGTACAAGCACTTCTCCTGCTTCAGCCTCCCGAGTAGCTGGGATTACAGGCACCCGCTGCCACACCACACTAATTCTTGTGTTTTTAGTGAGACAGAGTCTCCACTATGTTGGTCAGGCTGGTCTCGAACTGACCTCAAGTGATCCGCCCACCTCAGCTTCCGAAGTGCTGGGATTACAGGCCTGAGCCCCCACACCCAGCCCTCCCCTGTCTATTGCCTTCTTCCCTCCTACTCTTCCATTCCTTTTCTCTTTCTCTGTTTTGCCCTCATCCCTGACTGCTCATGATCTACAGTAGGCCCACCTGGTGCTGCCTTTGTTTTCCCCAGGTGAGCCAGGCTGGTGAGCTGCTTGGTTCTGCATGAATGTTTGGGGTTCTGGGATTGGGGACCCTCTCCCCCAACTCGAGCTTGAGGAAGAGCTAAGAAACTCACTGGCTTCAGTGTGAATTCAGACGAGCTGATTTGGTACATTGCTCCTCCACACCCGCAGGTGTTTGCAGTCAGGATTAGATCAGTTCTGAGAACTTCCACGAACAACACTATAGGAACAGAGGGGCAGGAGTGGATGGTCCACCTGCCCCTTCTGGTATTTTATATGGAGAGGAGTCAGATGGGAAGCTGAACCCCAGCATGTTGTCCAGGAGGTCAAGCTTCTGTTCGTCCTCCGTAAATGTATAACACATAGCCTGTTCTGCAAGGTTCCAGGCATGTGGACCGGCTTTGTGTTTGTCCATACCCAGCCCTGAAGCAGAAGGGGTTTCAGAGGGCACTGCACACATGCTCCACGCATCCTGGGAAAGCCCCTCTGCTCTGTGTTATAGCAAGAATCTTTCTGGTGGATTTTTGTGTCTTTCCTGCTGGGACAAAACGTTAGCACCTCCCCCACAGGGCTTGGTATTACTAGATCGGAAAACACCAATGTCTGCTCATTTGGGTAGGGAGATTACTTGACTGGCTTCTCTGTCTTCACTTCACGGATCGTCAACTCCCCAACATGGCATCTTCCCAGTAAAACCCTAAGGCAATATCAGAAGGAAGAGGTAGCCCCATTCTCCAAGACAGAGGCTGGCAGCCCTAGCCCTTGGAAGGTTATCTGGTGTTTGTGCTGATCCTCACTCTACGACCTGCATGGGAATGTTCCACGTGGTCCCGAGGCACAAACTCTTGCCAGAGCAGACCTGGACCCCAAGAGCTGGCCCTTTCTGGATGTGACTGACTCCTCATAGACTATTCTAGAAGGTGACAGCAATTAGAATGCCTCTTCACATTTTTTTTAACTTAAAGTCAACTGATTATAGGCTTTAAGGCTCCCCACTTCTATCTAGGACATGGTCTTCATGAGGATCATCTGGCTGAGAGTGAAGAGAAATTAGCCTGGCTGGGAAAGCATTGATAGGGGCAAATTTGCATGTGCTTTACATATCATTTGCTCACACTGCTGTAAACCTGACAGCACATTCTCAGCCACATTTTCATGGTTGCCCTGAAGGATCTGCTTTTCCATCTTTCTCTTCTCTGACCCATTATGACTGCGAAGGTCAGTGACCGACAGCATCAGTGACTGCAGAGAGGGCCACAGAAGGGAAGCACAAGCAGGCTGTGGGGACATGCTTCCGGCCACCTGCACCCTGGAGCCATTGCACGAGGAAGGCAGGGCATCAACTCTTCTACCTTCTGCCTTTTATTTAGTTCCTTGGGACTCCCTACTGCTTTGTCCTGGACACAGTGACAGGTGGCAGGGGATGGGGACTGCTTGGCATCAGTCCTGACTGTGGATGTGCTCAGCTGGCAGTGGGGATAGGAAAGGACAACTCCTGCCTTCCTCTCAGACATCCTCAAGCAACAGCCAACAGGAGTGCTGGTGTGCTGGATGGGGGAGAAGCTTCTAACAGCGAACTCGAACTCGGGCTTAGTGAGATCTCCCCCTCAGGGCGTGTGTAGAGCAGACTTCTCCCAGCCCACTTTCAGGGGCTCAATGATTAACTCTAAGGAGCTGAAAAAAGATGTTCAGGTACAATTTTTTTGTTGTTTTGCTATGTGTTTGTCTCACTTGATATACTAGATGTGTTAATGAGGTATGCAAGTGAAGGAAAGCTGGGCATAGAACTGAATTTTTGCCCATTGAATTCTACCTCATGTACCAGGAACCTCTTTGCTTGAATACAATGTTTGGTGAGGTAAAGAAAGCACTTCGGCTGGGCGCAGTGGCTCATGCCTGTAATCCCAGCACTTTGGGAGGCCGAGGTGGGTGGATCATGAGGTCAGGAGATCGAGACCATCCTGGTCAACATGGTGAAACCCCTGTCTCTACCAAACATACAAAAAATTAGCTGGTCATGGTGGCATGTGCCTGTAATTCCAGCTACTCGGGAGGCTGAGGCAGGAGAATTGCCTGAACCCAGGAGGCAGATGTTGTGGTGAGCCAAGATTGCACCATTGCACTCCAGCCTGGGTAACAAGAGCGAAACTCCGTCTCAAAAAAAAAAAAAAAAAGCACTTCACAGTAAGAATATTCAGCCCTTCGTTTTTCTCTTTTACCTCTAGGATTTTGTATGTTGCATGTTTTAAAAACTGGGCAAGCCTGTGTGGTTAGTTGTTATTCTTACGGCCCAGGTCAGTAACTCTCAAACCCCTGATGTTGAGAGGCCCCCCAGGTCAGTAACTCTCAAAACCCTGATCTTGAGAGGCCCCCCAGCCCTCACCCTGGAGCTTCCAGTTTAGTCATCTGAGGTGAGGTGACTCTGAGTGGCATCCGGGGTTATGAAACATGGCCTGAAATCAGGCTCTCCAGGGCTGGAGCCTAGAATCTGCTTATACCGAGCTCTGCAGGGGGTTATGTGTGCCCGTGTCTGAGTGACCAAGCACGGCTGTGCCAGGAGAGGAATCCCAGCCCTTCTTAGGAGGGTGCAAGGTGCCTCTAGGCGCCGCTGTCACTGTGGGGCACCCATTGACTCTCCCACACTCACCTGGCCTGCAGCAGCTCTGGGTATAGAAGTTCAGGCTTCATTAGCATGTTCCCAAAGTGCACTTTTCCTATAGGATTTTGTTCGAGGAGAAGAGCAAAACCTACAAAGCAACTTCTCATTAGGCTCAGAAAAGTCAAAACCCAGTCAGAGAGCATTGCGTTAGTGAACGTCTCATCTCCTTCAGAACAGCCTGGGGCAAGCTTGCCAGTCCCTGAGACCTTCTGGGTAGTCAGCTAAATCCCAGATAGTGAATAATGGTGCAGCTTCTCAGATTTAGTAATCAATGCCAAGTGCCAGCACAGGCATGAAAAAAAGTGGCATCTCCACAGTAAGACCTGCTGCAGAGTCTGTGCGCTACTGAAAAACCCTACTGCTATTCATCCGCCCTTTCAACCTTGCTTCCCTCCATCTCCATCCACCCTCCCATTCCATCCATCCACGCATTCATCCATCCACCTTTCCATCCATCCACATATCCATCCATTCATGTATTCCTTATTCATTTAATAATATTTGCTAAACTTGCATATGTTGGGTTTCTGCCAGGAGTTTTTTTTTTTTTGTTTTTGTTTTTGAGACAGAATATTGCTTTGTTTCCCAGGCTGGAGTGCAGTAGCATGATCTCGGCTCACTGCAACCTCTGCACCCTGGGTTCAAGTGATTCTCCTGCCTCACCCTCCTGAGTAGCTGGAATCAGGCCCGTGCTACTACACCTGGCTAATTTTAGTATTTTTAGTAGAGGTTGGGTTTCACCATGTTGCCCAGGCTGGTATTGAACTCCTGACCTCAGGTGATCCACCCACCTCAGCCTTCCAAAGTGCTGGGATTACAGGCATGAGTCACTGCACCCGGCCTTCTGCCAGGTTTTATGGGTGATATAAAGATAATAAAAGAATCGCTCCAGTTAGGTATGGTGGTACATACCTGAGGTCCCAGCTACTTGGGAGGCTGAGGCAGGAAAATCACTTGAGCCCAGAAGTTCAAGACCAGCCTGGGCAACATAGCAAGACTATGTCTTTAAAAAAAAATTTTTTTTTAAAAAAAGAATAGTACCAACTCTCAAAGAGCTTGTAGTCTAGCAGGTGAATTAAGACAAATATTCAACTACCCAGAATACAGAGCAAATTGAAAAGAGCCATTATAAAGGACCATGGTACTTTGCAGCCTAAGTTAGAAATTGGATTTGCAGGGCAGGATAGTGAGGAGTTAGAGGCTACTGGCTACCTTCCAGGTGCTGGCAACTTCTGAAAAGCCCTCACATCCTTATCTCATTGACAAATCAGAATGCATAGCTTTCTCTGCTGCATTACTGGGACCTTGAAGTTTTCTGTCACTTTCCCTTTACATACTTTACACAGATACAATCACACAGGGACCCAGTTCTTTGAAATTAGGAAAATGAGACCGCTGAGTGGGTAAGTGGTGCATGATCTGTGGCCAGATATCTCTCTCCTACCCTCAAGCTGCCAGCTCCCTCTCCCAACCTCTATTCCAGTAGCCCAGGGCTCAGATATCCTAGTCCGTCAGGGGTGGAGGTGGAGGGTGCCCCAGGGCTAGGTTGGAGGTGGGACTGAGGACCGGGCCACTCTGACAGCTGAGTTCAGTGGTGAAATCTAACACCCAGGATGGAGGAGGCTTGTAAACTCTGCTTCATGAGGTCTCCTCTACTTGTTCTATGGTAATGCCCCCTGTCCTGGTGTTATAGCAGGAGGGTGCTATGGAATACTGGCACTAACCCCAGGAATTAACTCTTGTGCTTTGGTGCCTTCTGTGAGGTGAGTTTTCCCTTTTCCCTCTGTGGTCCTGTGTGGTTCCTGGTGTGGGGATAGGCATGCTGAAGGACTGACAGACTGAGTGTACAATTAAACAGGTTCTGAGATCCTCCGCTGTGCTCTATCCTACAGGTTAATGGAAACAGCAAAAGAAATGACCCGAGAGTCCTTGCCTATCAAATGCCTTGAAGCTGTCATCCTGGGCATGTATCCTTTAAGTTATGTATGCTTAAGTTTACTCCATAAATGGTGGCTTCACAATGGGGCTGGCTGTGCCTTTCACATTGTAAGTTCACAGAGATGATGCCCATTATCTCCTTTGAGGAAAGGGTTAAACTCCTCTGGTTCGTGTCTTCAACTTTCACCATGTAGAATTAAACCAAATCAATGCTTGGCTTCTTGGACCAATATTAGTTTAACCTGTGAGCTGCGGCACCTATCAGGCCCAGCTCTCAGGCCAGGGACCTTGCAGATTCACTGGGAGAATTCTAACTCGGAGGGACTAGAGAGAGTGTATGCGGCTGTTCTTTGCATTAACATGACATTGCAGCAGGAAAGACACTCAAGGGGAAATGCAACCAGAGCCAAGAGTGCTGGTATCCAAACCCATCTCCAGGGAAATTCTTTGAAAATTCAGTGACGTGACCTCAGCTCGCTGCAACCCCTGCCTCCCAGGATTAAGTGATCCTCTGACCTCAACCTCTTGAGTAGCTGGGACTACAGGCGCATGCCACCATGCCTGGCTAATTTTTTTGTTTTGTTTTGTTTTGTATTTTTGGTAGAGATGGGGTTTCACCATGTTGTTCAGGCTGGTCTCAAACTCCTGAGCTCGAGCGATCTGCCTGCCTGAGCCTCCCAAAGTGCTGAGATTACAGGCAGGAGCCATTGTGCCCGGCCTGCCAGGGAAAATTCTAAGAGTGGTGTGTGGAGGAGACCAAGCAGTGGTCTCTGTGTATCCTGATTTGAAAGAACCTCCAGCTAAACAAGGGTCTAGCTTCTCCCACACTTTCTTATCCATTTTCCACCGAACTCCTGGCTCTTCAGCCTGAGAGGAATATGGTTCAGGGAAACTGTGATGGCATCAGCATATTGGTGGTGATGGTAATTGAACATGATCAGATAGAAGAGCAAAGGCACTCCCAAGTCCTATGGGATGAATGGCTGGAAGGGACAGTGGAAAAGGAAGCACTGCAATACAGGAGCTTGAGAGGCGGTTCCAAGCAAGACTAGTTAGGTCCTTGAGTGCTGTGCTGAGAAATGACTTTTCCAAAAGGCAATAGGCAACCCAGATGAAAGCTCTGAAGCAGAGGTGTGGCGTGCTCAGGTATATGCTCTAGAGAGGTAGTTCTCCAAAGGACAGGCTGAAGCACAGAGTGGGGAAGGCTGGGCTGGATCAGCAAAGCCCATTGGGAGCTGTTACATGAGGGAATGGTGACACTAGACTCATGGCCCCGGGCATGGGAATGGATTTCAGGGAATTGTTTTAAGAGCGATCAAGGAGATAGAATGTACCGGACTTGCAGGCCAACTAGATGCAGGAGTTGAGGAAGGAGTCAACGACTACAGGTTTCCCAACTGGGCAATAGACTGCAGGATAAGCTGGAGGAATGAGAGTGGCAGAGAAATGAGCTGCGTCAATATAGACCTGGACTGAGACAGTGGCAGTGAAGGAGGAGGGAAGGGATGGTGGCATATATCATCACCACCACTTGGGGACTGCTTAGATGGGAGGAGTTATTGGAGAAAGGCAGTGACTCCACATTTCTGGCTTGTGTGATAATGCCACAGTCCAAGGGAAGGACTTCAAGGGGAGGATCAGATTTACGGTGCGATGAGCTCAGATTTGGACATGTTAAATTTGAGGTGCCCTGTGAGATGTTGGGATGAGGTATTTCAGTGTGGAGCTCACAGGGGAACTTGCACTGGAAATGTGAATTTAGGAGCTGTGATTAGGGAGTTATGCTTACTATTCAAGAAGTGAGAAGGAAAAAGATCAAAGATGAAATTGATATTTTTTGGTTTAGTTGGGTACAAAGAGCCCAAGAAAGAGACTTGAGAAGGAAGGTCAGAGAGTTAGAAGGAAAACCAGGAGAGAAAGGAGACGGAGAGGCCGGCGGAAGGACATGTGGCTCAGAATCAGACTGGGGACAGGAGGATTGATCTGGTCTGTTTTCTGGGTCTCCTGGAGATTTTTGTGGGAAGGGGAATCTCTGTGCCACTCTGGAGTCTGGGGAACACTTGCAGGCCTGATCTGAAACAAGATTGACCACAGATGCCTTGGCTGACATTTAAAAAATGGAAACTTGACCCTTACTGAGGCCCCTTTCCAACCCTCCTGTCATCCTCCTCCCTGTTTCCCACAAAGGAGATGAAACGTGTGCTTGGGGAACCCAGCAGGAGGCTGGGAATGGGGGTTGGGGCGGCAGATGGCTCAGGGCCCCAACTCTTCAGTGGTGGGAGTCAGCCACAGCTGTTCAGCGAAGCCTCCTGCAAGTTTAATGGGGGCAGATGATTGGCTGGGAAATTGCTGGTGGAAGCGATCAATGAAGGAGAACACAAGCCCAGGCCCTTCACAGGGTGGACAAGTTAACTTCAGACTCTTTGTTGAGGGGTGTCTGAGTGCTTTTGTTTTTAGGTCATCGAAATGACCACTTCCCTTACACAATAGTTTCATCCCTGCACAATTTTATACATCCTAGCATCTATGCCATTGGAATCACCTACAACCTTTTGGAATTGTGGGGATGGACCCAGGAACAGCCTGTGAGCCTGTCCAAATCAGAGATCGTGAGCGTGGTTTCCTTTGTTCTTATTCATCTGACATTTCAGAAGAGTGTGGGAAAGGTGGAGAGCCTTAGTTCACACTGCTGAACTCAGGGAAATTTGACTCTTGCACACAGACAGGAAACACAGATCCGAATCTTTTTTTGAGACAGAGTCTGGCTCTGTAATCCAGGCTGGAGTGCAATGGCATGATTTCAGCTCACTGCAATCTCTGCCTCCTGAATTCCAGTGATTCTCCTGCCTCAGCCTCCGGAGTAGTTGGGATTACAAGCATTTACCACCGCACCTGGCTAATTTTTTGTATTTTTAGTAGAGATGAGGTTTCACCATGTTGACCAAGCTGATCTCAAACTCTTGACCTCAGGTGATCTGCCTCCCTCTGCCTCCCAAACAGACCTGGATTCTGAAAGTTACAGCATCTTTGTCTTTTCTCTTTGCTCTGGTCAGCATCCCCGGGTCCTGCTTTCCACTTGGGGCTAGTGAAGGATATGAACGGAGTCATCCGTCTGTGTCTCCCACAGGCCTTCTGCAGGTCTTGGCTCCACAACTTTGAAACTGGTTGGCTTGGCTGCATTGACGCCTGTGTCCATCAGCCTGTCCTTCCTTGCTTTCTCTTTTTTGACTTTAGCCCAGAGTTCAGGATTCATTAGTGCTGAGCCACTTCTTTTTATTTTGTTTGAGGGCATGCCCATGCTTTTACATGCATGCTAGAGAGGTAGATCTTTGCACCCAAATTATCTTGTGAAGGATGGCAGGTATTTTGGGGGGCCTCACTGGCCATGGTGGGGCTTGCTTGCGATACTAAAGCACTATGGTTTATTAAAGTAACAGGTTCAGTATGAGAGGCAGGTGAGGAATAGCCCTGGGGCTGGGTGCTGGAAAGATGATCCCTGGCTTGGCGCTGCCACTCCCGCTTCCCTGGAAAAGCTCAGGTTACTCTCCTGCCGGCATCTATACTACCTTGCCACCTCCCTCTCCATTCCCAATTGCTCCAGGTCCCAAGGCTTTACCAGTCAAAGTTATGATGGGACAAATCCTCGAGATCAGTGACTCGTGACATGAGGGACTGGTGCTCTCTCTTGTCTCCTCCCCACTTCTCCACCTGGCTGACTCTACTTCTCCTGTAAGACAAATTCCAGTATTACCCTGTGAGGCCCCTCCTCTTTCCACCCAGAGATTGCTGGGCTTGCCTTTCTTATGGCGCACATCACATTGTGTTTGGTTTTTATTGTGGTAAAATATTTATAACACAATTAACCATTTTTTTTTTTTTTGAGACGGAGTTTCGCTCTTGTTACCCAGGCTGGAGTGCAATGGTGCCATCTCGGCTCACCGCAACCTCCGCCTCCTGGGTTCAGGCAATTCTCCTGCCTCAGCCTCCTGAGTAGCTGGGATTACAGGCACGCGCCACCACACCCAGCTAATTTGTATTTTTAGAGAGATGGGGTTTTATTATGTTGACCAGGATGGTCTCGATCTCTTGACCTTGTGATCCACCCGCCTCGGCCTCCCAAAGTGCTGGGATTACAGGCTTGAGCCACCGCTCCCGGCCCACAATTTACCATTTTAACTATTTTTAAATGCACAGTTCAGTGATGTTAAGTACATTCATAATGCTCTGCAAACTGACCATCATTCCGGTCAGGCAGGGTGGCTCATGCCTGTAATCCGAACAGTTTGGGAGGCTGAGGAGGGCAGATCGCCTGAGGTCAGGAGTTCGAGACCAGCCTGGCCAACAAATTAGCCAGGTGTGGTGTCGGGCACCTGTAATCCCAGCTACTCAGGAAGCTGAGGCAGGAAAATCGCTTGAACTCAAGAGGCAGAGGCTGTAGTGAGCCAAGATCATACCTCTGCACTCCAGCCTGGGCAACAGAGTCTGTCTCAAAAAAAAAAAAAAGACCACCATTCCTCCCCGGAAATGAAACCCCATACCCATTAAACAGGACTCCCCGTTTCCTCCCTCCAGCCCCTGCCCACCGCCGCTCTACCTTCTGTCTCCGTGCACTTGCTACTCTAGGTGCTGATGAGTAGGATCATGCAGTATTTGTCCTTTTGTATTTGGCTGCTTTCACTCAGCATGTCTTCAAGGCTCATCTTGCACAGTGCAGAATTTCCTTCCCTTATGAGGCTGATTCAATTCTACGGCATGTATACACTGCATTTTCCTCAACCATTTATCCGTCGATGGATATTTGGGTTGTTTCCACCTTTTGGCTATTGTTAATAATGCTGCTGAGAACATAGATGTACAAATATCTGCTGGGGTCGCTGCTTTCAATTCTTCTGAGTGTGCACCCAGAAGTGGAATTGCTGGGTCCTTGGGTAATCCTGTTGAATCATTTGAGGAATTGCCATGCTGATTGCATTGTGTGCGTTGAGTCCGCCTCCCACCAGACCGCTGGAGAACGGCTGTGTCCTTATCTTTGGCTCCACAGCCCTACCTGGCAGGCTGTCTGGCACAGCAGACACTCAGGATAAGTGCTTGTTACACTGACTTAAGCAGTTAAGGAATGCCCTTGTTCCAGCCCCAGAGAACTTGCCCCAGAAAGCAGCTAGGAATTTACGTAACAGGACTCACAAGGATGTGATTTCACTCCTAACTGCCAGTTGATCTCACATGATAAAGTGAAGAGAAAGCAGGTAGAAAACATTTTTAGAGAGTGGAGCCATCCGTGATTAAGCTGAGGGCAGAGGACAAGGCTGTGGCCATTGCCATGGATGGTTGTGTCAGCATCCTTCTCTGTGGGACACCTGGATTAGCTCCGCACCGAGTGCTGCCCTTGTAAGTGTAAGGCAGTGGGCATCCACAGTCTAAGGTTAATTCTTTCTGTAAGCTTTAAACAAAGCTGTCTGTGTACCAGGTCTGCGCTGTATCCAGGGAATGCCAGGAAGTGAGACCCGACCCCTGCCGTCACAAGATACAGTTACAATACAGGATGGGTAGGCACCAAATGCGGTGGTGGGGGGGGTTCTTGCGTATTTTGGAAAGATGATCCCGGGTTTGGCCCTGCTGCTCCCCCTCCCTGGAAAAGCTCAGGTTACACTCCCCTGCCTGCATCCACACTTCCTTGCCACCACTCTTTGCATTCCCAACTGCTCCAGGTCCCAAGACTTTACCAATTGACTTGGCGGGGGTAGGAGGAGGGAAGCAAGAATAAGCTAGGAAGAGGAAGGTCAGGGAGGCATGACACCCGACACCCAGGAAGGGGAAAGACAGTCGTGAGACTGTTCCAGGCCAGAGTGCAGCCTGTGTGAGCCCCAGGAGCAGAGGAAAAAGTGCCTTGTTGTTGTTTCGTTTTGCACGTTTGTAATTACTGAAGAAAATGACAAGTTTTTCTTTTTGTCTCATATGAACTTGGTTTGAGTATACAGCATATAGTAGATAGTCAAAGATATCAAGTGAATCCTTTATGAAAGGATTAGTCTGGAAAGTTAGCTGTGGGCCTGCTCAGCCGCAGGGGCATGGACTCACTGACCCCTATGAGACACTTTCCCTTCCTGTGCGTCCAGGCTCTGAATTTTCAAGGCCTTCTTTCGCTTCCTTGACTCAGATTGCCTAAGCTACTTAACCAATGGACAGCCTTCCATCGAGCGCTTCCCCATCAGCTTTAAAACCTACTTCTCAGGAAACTACTTTCACCATGTTGTGCTGGGGATTTACTGCAATGGCCGCTATGGCTCACTGGGCATGAGCCGAAGGGCTGAGCTGATGGACAAGCCTTTGACCTTTCGGACTCTGAGTGACCTCATCTTTGACTTTGAGGACTCCTACAAGAAATACCTGCACACAGTCAAGAAGGTCAAGATTGGGCTGTACGTCCCCCATGAGCCTCATAGCTTCCAACCCATTGAGTGGAAGCAGCTGGTCCTCAATGTCTCAAAGATGCTGAGGGCTGACATAAGGAAGGAGCTGGAGAAATACGCCAGAGACATGAGAATGAAGGTGGGTGCTGGGAAGACAAGGAAGCCAGGCAAGAGAGCTCTGTTCCCATTCCTTTCTGACTGCCTCTTGCTCCAAACCTCATTCTTCTAGGATGGTCAGAAATTTCTTGAGGTTAAAGTTTCTCTTTGCACCTACTACTGAAAAAAAAAAAAATTGGCCAGGCGCGGTGGCTCACGCCTATAATCCCAGCACTTTGGGAGGCCGAGGCGGGTGGATCACGAGGTCAAGAGATTGAGACCATCCTGGTCAACATGGTGAAACCCTGTCTCTACTAAAAATACAAAAATTAGGTGGGCATGGTGGTGCGCACCTGTAGTCTCAGCTACTTGGGAGGCTGAGGCAGGAGAATTGCTTGAACCCAGAAAGCAGAGGTTGCAGTGAGCCGAGATCGTGCCATTGCACTCCAGTCTGGGTAACAACAGCAAAACTCCATCTCAAAAAAAAAAAAAAAAAAATCAATTTAGATGTGACAGTTAAAATTGTCCTGCAATTCCCTCTATGAAATCAGATCTAAAGCGTCAATCATTTTCTATTGAAGCTCTAGTTTGTTCTGTTTGGTCTATATAATAGGGTGACCAATTGTTCCAGTTTGCCTGGAACTGCGGGCTCCCAAGGATATGAAATTTTCAGTATTAAAACCTGGAAAACCTTATATGCTGGCTTTACACAGACTATACTCATAGGTCCTCCTTCCCTCTCTCAGTTTTGCCTCCAAAGTGATATGATACCCACTTGTCCATGTCCCTCTAGGGTTTGTGCAGTCACTAAGAGAAAAGGATTATGCTGACTCCAGGCCCAGCTAGGTTTCACTGTGGCCTTGTCATCATCTTCACTCCGCAGGACCTGGAGTGAGATTCCTGATAGTTAAAACCACTCTGTTAGATGTGGGATGGGAGCATCAGAAGAAGAACAAGCTGGTTTCTGGGGCAATGTAGATGGGACTTTGTCTTTGTGAGGAGAGGAATTGCCAAGCAAACAAGCACAGCCCCAGGGGGCTGAGGCACTGGGTTGAGTTCCTTTCTCCACGCCGCACAGGGGGCACGATGTGACCAACCGCATATCTGTCTTGGAAGTGGTGCCCTTGCTCCTTGACAGTACAGGGCAAGAGAGGAATGCATGTCTTCAGCCTCCTTGTTTTAGAAGTCTTCCCGCTCAATGCCTTCTAAACCATGGCATCATGATCGAGCTGGGGACTGGGATGTGGTGCTGGAAGAAGATGTGAGGGTAGAGATCTTTTAGGAACCAGGGCGATTAACTCCTCGCATCTCCTTCAGATCCTGAAACCTGCAAGTGCCCACTCTCCGACCCAAGTGAGAACCCGGGGAAAATCCCTGTCCCCCAGAAGGAGACAGGCAAGCCCCCCGAGAAGGCTCGGCAGGCGAGACAAGTCGTGAGTAATATTTCCTCTTCCCCAACTCAAAGCCCAACAAATACATTCAAGGGATTATCCTGGATCATGGAGACAAAGTTGTGTCTTGGGCCTGGCATTTGACCAAGGGTTTGTTATCTTGTACTAAGTTCTGTAGCTGGTCGGTGAGAACTGGGGCTGGAACCCAGGTTCCCTGATTCTGGGAGGTGATAGGGCAGAGAGGGGGGACGGTTCTGTTTTCAGACAGGACTGCCCCTCATTCAGGGGACATCTGTGGTAAAGGATCCACTATGCATGTCACCCCCATTGCTACTCTCTGCTGACTCAGTCGCATACACGAATGGAGGGATAAGCCCCAGGCAGAATGAGATGAAGAATAGCCTGGAATGCAGGCAGCATGGAGTTAGGAAACCTGGGGCTGGAGCCAGCTGCATGCTTATGAGCTGTGCGACGTTGGACGTGTCTTTGTTATCTTCCTGGGCATAAGTTTTCTCACCCATAAAACGGGATTGTTAGAATTTATGAACTTTCCTGCAATTCCATAGTCCTCTGTACCAGCAGAGTGTGATTGCCATCAGTGGATGGTGGCGTCAGAGACACCCACTGACTCATTTTCTTCCTTACCTAACTCTACCCTCTCCATTTCAGCCCTGAGGCCAATGATTCCACATCTACTTCTCAGGTCAAAATAACCCACTTAAGCAACGACAGATTGGAGACCTGGGGATGCCCAAATTCGCCAGTGATAATCCGCTGGCAAATATTTGAGCTCTAGCCATCCTGGAAAAAAAATACTGCCTTTCTTAATAATAGCAGCATGCTGTGTCACCCAGCCTCTTGTCATGCTGGGACCATGTGGCACAGTGCATAGGGGGCTCGGTGGAATCCCAGCTCTGCCACATGTTAGCTCTGCTGCCAGGCACATCCTTCCTCCCTGGGGAGGCTTGATTTCCTCATCCATAAAAAAAATAGCAAAATGCTTTCCTCACCTGTCTGACGGGGTGATTTGTAAAGATTCAAGTCGACGATGTAATGAGAGTGATATGTCAGCCGTGAATTTCACACAAGCACGGTATCATCGTCACATCAACCCTGTACAGTGAGCAGAGTACGTTTTACAAGTTTTGTTTTCAGATGAAGAAACCAGGACACAAAAAGGGTTTTTTATCTTGTACTAAGTGCTGTAGCTGGTCAATGAGAACTGGGGCTGGAACCCAGGTCCCCTGATCCTGGGAGGTGGCAGGGCAGAGTGGCAGGAGTGTTCTGTTTTCAGAAGAACAGGACAGGACTAAGTATATTCACTTCCAAGGAAGGCTCTTTACTTGTCCCATTCCATGTTCTAGAACCAGTCCAGGGTTCAGCAGGTGCTGCCATGAGTGCCTTGGCTACAAGGGTTGTGGTTCTGGGTCGGAAGGTCGGGGGTGAAAAAGTGAGAGGTCAGTTGTTCCCAGTAGCAAGAGAAGCTAAAGATGAGAATAGTGTCAGCCTAGGTTTGTCCTTATAGGGAGCAGGATGGCTTCCAACTTTTCACACATGTCCTCCTGACCCCAATCCTCTCCCTGATGCTGGCCACTGCCCTTGACCCTTACCTTAGCCCTTACCCTATCTCTCTCTCTCTCTCTCTCTCTCTCTGATTCAAACATCCATTACTTGCTGTCACTGCACAAAGTAGCCATTGTCTCAGAGGATTATGAACATGGAAACCCTTCCCGGAGGGTCATTTAGCATAGAGTTAGTGACCCTCTATGATTCTGATTGTGTCTGATTTATTATCCTTTTTGCCCAAGGAGGGCTGAGTCATTCCCTGAGGAGCTCCCAATCTTCAGCAAATGTCGGACAGTCTATAAAAGCCTGCCTTTCCCGATAGACTCTAGAATCCAGAGCACAGGAAGGCCCAAACATTCCGCCTGGCATTGGATTCCCGCACAGAATGGCCGCCATTGACTTTGAAGACTAGTCCTGGTGATCCGTTGTACTTCAATCCACAGGGACTTTGAATTCACGGGGCATGTTGAGTTTTCAACCGGAAATGTGACCGTAATTGCAAGGGAATGGTACAGATGAGAAACCATGGTAACGGGATGATGTCAGGAGTCAGAAGGTGGTGGCCGTTCTTTGAGAAATGTGGAGGAGGAAGGAGAGCTTGATTTGGATGATGAAATGTGAGCTGCTGAAAATGCAGACCTGGAGTTTGAGGAAGCTGGGGGATAAAGGCCATATTGGCGCCATCTACTTAGAATTGCCAGTTGAAATGACAGCCGGGTAAGTCTGTGAGCAAAGACAGTAGAGAAAAAGAAATGGGCGTGGTGGCTCATGCCTGTAATCCCAACACTTTGGGGAGCCGAGGAGAGAGGATTGCTTAAGCAATCCCAGGTGTTCGAGACCAGCCTAGGCAACATAGGGAGACCCTGTTTATACAGCAACAACAAAAAAATTAGCCAGGCATGGTGGTGGTGCATGCCTGTAGTCCCAGCTTCTTGGGAGGCTGAGATGGGAGGATCACTTGAGCCTGGCAAGTCGAGACTTGATAGTGCCACTGCGCTCCAGTCTGGGCGACTGAGTGAGGCCCTGTCAAAAAAAAAAAAAAAAAAGTGATGGCAAGTCCCTGAGGAAGCCCAAGAAAAAGAGCCAGAACAGAAGACGGAAAAGGAACAGTCAGAGAGGGAGAGGATGGATCAGGACCATGAGCGCAGCCTGCAGAGAACAGCTGTCAGGGCACCTCAGCCATGAGTGCAAAGCCACCTTCTAGTGTTGGGGCACCACTTGCCCTCTGCCCTCCTGCCAGTCTGGCACACCAGAGTGGGCCTGAGAATGGGGAGAAAGACCAGGGAAAGGGAGTGGTGGCCGGAGGTCAGGAAGGAAGATCAGCAGGCAGAGGGTGATTCTCCTCCATTACCTTCTGCCCTACATGCCCCAAAGTCAATCCCAGCTCCACTGGGGGAATCCCAGGAGCACAGCGGTGATGGCTCATGGTTCAGCAGTGAAAAGGTAAGCTTTTCGGAATGATGAGAAGTGGCTGCAGCAAGGTGAGGAGGGTGGGTTTCGAGCGGGAGGAGAGAAGGTGGTGGGGGAAGAAGTGCTATGGCCTGGGGTGACATTTAGAGAGGCAGTGTTGAGAGGGCTGAGGGGCTGGAACCAGCCGTGGAAAGGCGGTGAGAGTGAGAGCTGATGGAGCTGATGAAGGCCAGGATTCATTATCAAGAAGGAACACTGAACAGAGATGCAGCAAACCTGATTTATTTATTTCTTTATTTCCTTCCTTCCTTCCTTCCTTCCTTCCGTCCTTCCTTCCGTCCGTCCTTCCTTCCTTCCTTCTTTCTTTCTCTTTCTTTCTTTCTTTCTTTCTTTCTTTCTTTCTTTCTTTGAGACGGAGTCTCTTGCACTGTCGCCCAGGCTAGAGTGCAATGGCACGATCTCGGCTCACTGTAACCTCTGCCTCCCGGGCTCAAGTGACTCTCCTGCCTCAGCTTCCCAAGTAGCTGGGATTACAGGTTCCTGCCACCACACCTGTGCCCAGCTAATTTTTTTGTATTTTTAGTAGAGATGGAATTTCACCACATTGAGCAGGCTGGTCTCGAACTCCTGACCTCATGATCTGCCTGCCTTGGCCTTCTAAGGTGTTGGGATTACAGGCATGAGCCGCCACACCCAGCCTACGGCAAATCTGATTTCTGACTCCAGCTCTGCCATGAACCAGCTTGTGGCTTTGGGCAAGCTGCTTCTCTGTGCCTTACCTGTGTAAGGGGACAGGAGACTTGGAGCTGATTAATCTTGTAGTTTGTAAACTGTAAACCCTGCAGCTTTTGGCTTTCTAGAATTGGAAGATACCAGAGTGTCTTTGGACACAAAGAGAAAATAACCAGGAGAAAGAAATGAATGTTCAAGAACAAAGAGATTAATGGAGCAAAAGGTTTATGAGCAGCTGGGTTCAGATAGGATGGAAGGCTTCAGAGAGGGCTTAGCAGGTGGTGGCGGGGGAGAGGCTCGGAGCAAAAGGTTTATGAGCAGCTGGGTTCAGATAGGATGGAAGGCTTCAGAGAGGGCTTAGCAGGTGGTGGGTGGGGGAGAGGCTAGGAGCAAAGGAAGCGGGGACACTAGGGAGAGCTTGACATACCTGAGGAGGTGGAAATTGAAGGACTGTACCTTAAGTGGCCTTTATCTTGCCAGTGAAGAAAGGGCTCAGCTGAGGACAGATGGGTCCTCCAGTCCTGTTCTCAACCCTGAGATCACCAGCATCACCTGGAGGGTCTGCTGAAACAGATTGCTGGGCCCCTTTACCAGAGCTTCTGATTCAGCAGATGTGGGATGGAGCCTGAGAACCTGCATTTCTAATGACGCTGATCCTGCTGGTCCGGGGACCACACTTTGACGTATACCGTTTGCGTCAGTGGCAGGCCTCCACCTGGGTTTGATGAATCCGAATGGGAAATCTGAGTTGGCGGTGGACCCTAAAATATAACAGTCACTACCTGAGGGTACAGGGTCTGCTGAGAGGTCAGATAAAACTACTGGATGTGATTTAGGGGCTCAGCCTTGTTCAGTGTCGCCTGGACCTCTGGATAACTCATGGAGGCAAAGTTAGGGGGGTCTGACCCTGGGCTGGCTCCCATGTTTGGGCCCCAGTGAAGTCATTCTGGAAGGGTCCCAACTGGTCACTCTCCTGGGGGCCAGAAAGGGCCTCCGGTTTTTCATCCCCTAAGCCATGCCCCTACCCTAATCTCTAACTACTTTGTCATGCAGCCAAGGCAGGTGACCACCCCTGCACCTGCAGAGGACAGCTGTTAGACCACGTCAGTTGTGAGTGCAAAGCTGTCCTGCTCGCCTCCTACCCAATGGCACATCAGAGTGGGCCTGGGAATGGGGAGAAAGACCAGGGGAAGAGAGTGGTCGGTCACTCAAGGTCAGGAAGGAAGACCTGCAGGAAGAGGGGAATTCTCTTCCATCACTCTCCTCCCTCCATTCCCCAAAGTCGATCCGAGCCCCAGTGGGGAAAGTCCCAGGAGCACAGAGGTGATGGCTCA